TGAGTGCCCAGCAGGAGAGAGTTGAGCGTGGCCACTTACCTCACACTATGGTTAGCTCTCCTGCCCCTTCAGATGAAAGGTAAAATGGCCACCACGCACGTCATTCTCGTCATGCCTTCTGGCAGCTCACTTCATGTGTCATCTGCTGCTGGCTAAGGAGACATTTAGTTAATCCCATACACTTTTCTAAATTTCACGCTCCTTCCCTTCAGCAGACAGATGAGGTTTGTGTGAGTACTGAGCTCCGGTATCCCTGAGAAATGGCCAACAGAGCCTGGCTCTTTGGAACAACCCTGAGGCTGGACCGTGTCCTATGACCATGGGGACCTGCAGACTACCCCAGGTCTTGGGGGCTGAGTCTTGGCCCCAAAGAAAGACCCTGCCTTGCAGACACAGGAACATATTGGCGTATTGAACCACCTGTGGAAAAGGAAAGAAATGAGGAAATAAAAATGAGTCTTGGAGATCCCACACCCAAGGCCTGACCGGAAGTTAAATATGTCCTTCCATGGTGATATTGGAATTCCCACCCTGTCACCTTGATTCGGGAGCAAAAACACATGTATAGACACACACGTACACTCACACTCTCACACTCACACTCACAATACCAGATACTGCCACACAGACCTCTTCACGTGGCACAGCTCCCTGGGGGGGTTTGGTCTTGGGTCCGAGCACTGGCCGCTGGTCAAAGGAGCTCCAACCACAGGGTCTATCCCCAGGATATCTGCCTCCTGCCTCCTGCAGCCATGGATGGTCAAGGCAGGAAAGAACCTCTGAGATCATCTATCCTGGCCAATGGCCTCGATCCCTCGAGGAGGGGAACTGAGGTCTAGCAGGAAGCTGTGACATAGTGAAAGTTACGCAGTGAATTCATGGCCAAGCCTGGACTGTGTTGACCCAAGCTACCTGACCACCAGTTGGCCCTAGCAGACCATGAACTGTACCCATTGAAGACAAACCCATAATCATGATTAAGGACCTGCATGTGCCCCATGCCATGCAGGGTGTTGTCAGGGGTGCAGAAGATAGGAGACAAAGACCCAGCCTTTCCGGAGTCTATCTCCTTAGGAAGCCAGACTTGCACACAGAAGAACTCCAGTCTCACTCCTGTGGCAGCTCTCTCTACATGACAGACCAGAACTTGTCATTCAAACAGTTTCCTCTGAGGTTGGATGGTTGCAGAAGTGGGCTGTGTGAAGGAGGGGGGTGTCTAAAACAAGGGTACGGGCCAGAAGACACTGGTTAGAGAAGAAACTGTCTGATAGAATTTCTGCAGCAATGGCAATGTTCTCCGTCTGCACTGTCCAAAATAGTAGCCACAGCTGGGCTCTTGAAACGTGGCCAGTGAGAATGAAGAACTGATTTTTAGTATCATTTCATTTCTATTGATTTCAGTTGCCTCAGTGGGCTAGCAGCTACCGTGTTGGGGAGCACAGCTTCAGAGTGCTTCTTGGACTTTTGCTTTTGCATCCACTTCTCACATCCCTCTGGAGCCATAATATTCTTCATTCTCGGCCTTCCCCTTGCCACGGTCTCGAGTGATAGGAAGGGCTCATTGTTCCCATTTCCCAGGGAAGGGGGCTGAGGTTAGGTGACTTCCCCCAGGTCACCCAGCTGGGACTCCCATATCCTTACATCCAGGCTTCCTCTACTATACCTTTCTTCAGTCTGAGAAGTAACCGAGCAATGAGCTGCTTCTTCAGGAGGCTGGTTACCTCAGCACTGCTTGTTTCTTGGGCCAGTGAGAAATGAGCCTCATGTGGGTGGAAGTGAGGTCTATCCACCTTCCGAAGGATGAGAAGTGGGCTCCGGCAAATAGATGCTTGTGTGTGAGACTCCCTGAAGAAGCACTACAGCATCTGGCTGCTTGGCCATTGCTTACAAGGTCTATGGGTGCAGCCAGGCCTAGCCCCACCGTGGTCCTCAGGAGAGTCTATACCTGCCAAGTCATGTTGCCCCACAGACACCATCTTTCTTCCTTGGCATTCCCACCTCCTCTCAGGCCCTAGAGAAAGGAGCCTGAGTCCTTGTAGGAAATATTTGAGTGATAGGGAAGAAATTGATTGCAATATGGTTGTTGAGGGAGTAGCCACAGACAGCTTGGTGAAGGAGGCAGTACAGTAGGACAGAAAAGTGGCATTACAGAGATGGACTCCAGTTCAAATCCCCAGCCCCTCCTTTATGAGCTGTGTGACTAAGAACAAGTGAATGAGCCCTAGTTACCTCACCTGTAAAATAGAGATCAGTAAAACAAATTAAGCTCATCCACTTTACAGGATGGCTGAAGGGATTAAACAAGAGCTCTCTGCAAACTGTAAACAACAGGTGGATGATAGTGATGACCAGTAACTGGCAGGATGGTCACACAATCCCAGAGGCAGAGAACATTGCAAGTATCTCATACTTGTAAGAGAGATCTTAAAGCACCTCAACATCTGAAATCTCATTCTGCTCAAAGCAGAGCCTCCAACACATGTTTGCCTTGCCTTGTGAACATCTTCATCTCTCAGAAATTTGTGGAAGCCATAAGGGAACAACTCCCCTGGGTGTAGTTCTGACTAACAGAAAGGACTTTGGGCACCCATGAGTGAATTACGAAAGGCACCCCCCGAGGGCTGACCCACCCCAATGAGCTTATGCTTAGCAAGTAGAGGGTGACTATGAAAATTATCAAAAGTGTCTTTTCTTCCGGGCTGACAATGCCTTCTTGGTGAAACATCCTTGTGCCTGGAAAGGCAGGTTCAGTCACACATGGCCCTAGACAGTAGGCCCCCAAATTGGCCCTATGGAATGTCAGGGGTTTGGGATATTATACGTTCCAGGAATAAAAAGGACCTGGAGAACTCTGGTTAGACAAAGTTAAACACATTTATTCATTGCAAGAATTCTTTAATATGCTGCGTCATGAGTTCTCCAAGATAAGAATATTGCACGCAGCATTTATTTCCCAAAAGCCTTTGAATGGAAACTTTCTTTCTCCTGGAGGAGCTCACAACATACAGAAAGGACAGAAAAGCTATCCTGGGCTATACAAGTGCAGATTTCATGGCCAGCATTTTCTAAAGGAAATTAAATTGAAGGCAGGTGGGAGGTTGTTAAAAATGAAACTCTGTGTAGATAGATGCCTCTGAGAAACTTCAAAGAAAAAAGAAAGAGGCAGTGGTTATCTAGGTTGCACATGAGAGAAACAGGATTCAAACAAGCTTAGGCATGAAAGAAATTGTACTGCCCCTGGAATCGGAGGCAAGCTTCAACAACCGAACAGCGGGAGGGCAAGGATGCAGCCTCAGAAACAACCGGCACCAATGGCTCGGGCACCTCGGGGTTCACACTCCATCACTCACCTCTTCTCTCTGAGACCCTTTATTCTCTCACACTCGAGAAAGGCTTTTTCCACATATTTTTTTTTTCACACATGGTTCCCAATAGTTTAATTTTTACACATCCTACCACAAGAAAGAGGCTGTTAAGTCTCTTACTGATCTCCTATTAAAAAAAAAAAATAGGAAAGGGACTCATTGGCCTAGCTCAGTCAAGTGTCCATGTCCACCCCTGGACTTAGGAGCACCCATTAGAGTTCATGGAAGGACATGAGGACAAGAAGCTGGGTAGATAGGAAAGGAGTTCCCAAGAGACAATCCAATG